ACTTCTTTCCCCCAATAACCTCCCTTTTCCCAGCAATCCTATGGAGGATACCATCATCCTTCCAGTCACCCAGACTCACAACCTAAGTACCATTCTCAACTATCTCATCTGCAATATGCAATCTGTTGCCATGGTCTGTCATTAACCTTCATAGTATCTCTTACATATGCCCTCTCCTCTGATACTGCCACCGCACTGCTCTCATCACAAGTTCTGATCAACTCATGCCTGGGCTACTGAAATAGCCAACTAGTTGGTCTGCCTTCCACAAGTTTCATCCTACTCTAGTCCATCCCCTACTCAGCTTTAAAAGTGATCTCCCTAAAGTGCATATCACACCCCCTCTTCAATAAACTCTAGTGGCTTCTTATCACCTCCAGGATCAAATATAAAATCTTTAATTTGGCATTCAAAGCCCTTCATAACCAACCCCCTGCCTGTCATACTTTTCCAGTCTTCTTACAACTTACTCCTCCCAAGTACTCTTCAACCCAGTGACAACAACCTCTTGGTTGTTCCTCACACATGACATTTTATCTTCACATTCTGGTCATTTTTACTTGATGTCTTCTATGCTTGGAATGTTCACCTTTCTTATTTCTACCTCTTGGCTTTTCTGGATTCCTTAAAGATCCATCTAAAATTCCACTTTCTAAAAGAAGCCTTTCACAGTCTCCCTTAATTTTAGTGCCTTCCCTCTGCTGATTATTTCAAATTTATACTCTATATAGCTTGTTTGTTTTTGCAATTGTCTCCCCCATTAGACTGTGAGCACCTTGGAAACAGGGATTACTTTTTTCCTTAGCAAAGTACCTGTCACATGGTAGGAACTTAATAAATTTTATGGATTGACTGACTACTCTCCATATCAAGGGGACATAACCTCCCTTGGGTCTTGGACCTCTTTGGAAGTTTGGTGAAGACTATGGAATCCCTTTCAAAAGAATGATTTTAAATTCATAAAAAACACACAGAATTATAAAGGAAACCAATTACATTTAAATACAGTAATCAAAACTTAAAAATAAAAGTCACAGATCCCAAGTTAAGAAATTTTGCTTATGCTATATCTTAATATATACTTATGTATGCATACATATTCTCTCTGTATGTCTTTGTCTTTCTCTGTTTCTCTCTGTCTCCTCTCTCTCTCTCTCTTTCTTTCTCTGTCATCCCTCTCATTTTTCAATTTAAATATCTTTTGGTTAGATTTAAAAGAATCTAGATAAATAGATGTTTTCCTAGGTACAGTGAATGTACTTTATTCCTAGTCAGGAGTCCATCTTCACATTATTTTTAACCATGGACCAGAATTATAAATCCCATCTCAGACTGAATCTTCGTAATATGCTATTCACTCCCTAAATCTATCCCTCCCTTAGAATTTCTTTGGTTTGTTGAATAGCAATGATAATTGATGATAACAACCCCTATGCCCCAAAGGTCTTAATTTTCTCATTCAAGATTTCATATTCTTTAACAATGTTTTCTAAATTGACTCTGGCAATATCATTTATTCCCATGTGAAGCCCAGAAATACATGGGAGTCACTCAGTTTGACAAGCCTTGGGAACTTTTCAATCATATCTTGGATACATGTCCTAGAAGATGGCAGATCTCACTATTGTTGATGTCAAATTACCAAATAAATGATTCAGTTCCCCCCACCAACCACAACATTTGCCTCTTCTTCCTTCCCTCCTCCTTACTAGATGGAGTCTCTTCTGACAACAGTACCATGGATGTGACCCATGATTCCCTAGAGCTCAAGCAGTTGTTTCCTCATTAGCTCTCCCCTCCGCAAGAAGAACACAGGCATGCATGGATCATGTATGTGGTCATACCTCTTCCTCCTAGATGTGATGGCTCAACCAGGTCAGGTTCTGCACATACCTATGTGCAATAACTTCATAGCCCATTAATTCTATTTGTTCAATAGTCTTTCCCTTCTTCCTCTTTGTTACATTCTTCTCCTTCATTCCTAGACATGATCTCTTGACGTAGGCTAGAATTTCCTATTGCTTATTTAAAACTATTTTATTCTTTGAAAAAAAAAAGCTTAAATCCTTTCTTCAATTATTTTTCAAGGGACATTTCAAACTTTCTAAGAAAATGGAGGGTAAAAAGTTGCTCCTCATGCTTATGTACTTTCTCTTCTAGAAATGAAACCAACACACCCTTAGAATATAGATATCAGTTATTTAAACACAAACTTTTTTTTTTAGTTACTTCAATCAAAAATTTATTAAGCATTTACTATGTGTCAGGCAATAAATAAAAATAGCTCTTGCCCTCATGGAGCTTAGATTTTCCTCACTTCTAGCCTACCTTCAGACATATTCCACATCCATACTGGCTTCTAGGACCCTTGGGGGGTGACTCTACCCTGAAATCAATTCAATGACTAGAATCTTCATATCATGAAGTCAATCCACTGCTGTCACTCTCTAGTTCTATCTTGTCCTCCAGCCTGCTTCACTTTCACACAGGCTACCTACCACCCACCTTACTTTCTAGCTACCCTTTATGTTTTGATTTCCTCTATTAGAATGATCAGAGCAGGGGCTATATTGTTTTCTAGTTTTCTAGGGCTTATCACAGTACCAGGCTCATAGTAAATATTTAATAAATATTTTTTATTAATGCTTTTGACAATCAATCACCCAAGTGGGGTGAGTGATAATAAAGAATATAGGATGCCACTGAGGTTTTGAACCTAAATAATTGAAAGGATGGTAATATCTTCAACAGTAACAGAACTATTCAGCCCAGGATCACTTTCAGTTCATGTTTCCCAATTTAAACTGGAGTCTTGTTGCTGCCCAGAGTATTTTGATTTATTTTTTTTAATTCTTTAGCAAATTCCACATATTGGTTGTTCCAGACCTTCTTTCTCCTTTAGCTCCCAGTAACAGGATCTCTGGCCACACCCTCAACAGATGATCTTGTTTCCTATTTGGTGGAAAGATTTAGTGAACTGAAGAGAGATCCCATGTATATACTTACCTCTACCTTAACACATCCCTGAATGTGCTAATTCATCCTTTCTTTTAGTTTTACAGGGAGTTTTACCTTCCCTCTAAAGTTAATATTTCTACTATCCTAACTTCTATAGGATATTGATTCTGCACTTTTTCTTTTCTTCCACAGGATCCTTAGCACCCAAATTTCATAGATTTAAAGTTGGAAGGTACTCAAAGACCATGTAGACCAACATTGTCTTTTTACAGATGAGAAAACTGAAGATAGAGAAGTTAAGTGACTTGTCCAAGGTCTCATAATTAGAAAGTCATAAAGCCAGGACTTGAACCCAAGTTATGTTTCCAAATACCTCTTTTCTATCATATCATGCTCTTCCATTGACCTTTTCCTTTCTTGAAACAAACATAGGTTTCCTTTGTCTAAATCACTACTACTACTGCTACTACTGCTGCTGCAGCTGCTGCTGTTGCTGATAGCCCTTCATTAAGCTTCTTGCTCCTTCTAGTCATTATTATCACATTCCTTTTTTATTGCCAAGCTTCTTGACTATCTGGTTTATACTCAAGGGTGTGCTGGCAAATGTTTAATAACCAACTTTCCAGGAAAAAAAAAGCATGGCACCCTTTTAAATTTAATCTGCACCATTATCATTTTCTCCATCATTTTCATAAGTCTGGACAATCAACAAAATAATAAATCAGCCATGACTTACAGTGCTTGTCAATTTCCAAAATGTAAATGCTCATAATGAAATTTTAACAAACAGTGACTCCTTCTCATTTCTAATTTTTCTTAGCTTTTCTGACACACTTGACTGTGATATTCACTATCTCCTTTTAAAATCTTTCTCTTCTCTTAGTTTCATCGGAGTTTTGCTCTCCTGATTCACCTCTGTGAATGTTTCTGCTCTGCTTCCTTCACTGCTGGTCCTTCTTTTTGTCTACTCCTAACTGTGGAGATTCCTTAAGACTCCGTTCTTCTCTAAGTTCTATTTATTTTCTGTCCCTGAGAGCATTTGTCTATTCTCCTAGCTTCAAGAAACACTTCCATGCTGATGACTTTCAAATTAATATCTTCACAATTGGCAATTTTCATTTTTTCTCTGACAGAGCTGCATTTAAAGCTTTGATCCTAATTCAGGACAAAATAATAACAATTGGCATTTATATTTTAAATACAGTATTTTAAATTATGTATAGTAACTTGCATATATTATCTAATTTGGACCTTGCAATGACCTTGAGAGCCAGGCATTATTATCAAACACATTTCACAAGTGAAGAAAAAATTAAAGATCAGAGAGGGTATAACTTGATCATGGACACATACATAAATAGTAAATTTCAGAGGCAAGATTTGAACCTAAGTCTCCCTAATACAATTTAAGTCACTGTATCATGATTCCAATATATTTTGAATCTAACCTCTTTCTCCTATTCCTTCTTGACCCAAAATAGGATTTGTTTTTCAAAGTTTGCAAACACCTTGCACTACTCTGTTCCTTCTTTAAAGTCTAATCAACCAATCAAACAATTAACATTTATTAAGTGCCGACTTTACAAAGAAAGACAAATAAATGAACAAATAAACAAATAATATAGTAAAAATAAAAAAGAAGCCCTGCTTTCAAGGAGCTCATAGTCTAATTTTTTTGGCATTTGAAGAAAAGTATGTTTAATTCACTCTGGCTGATCCCTGGCCTGAATTAGTTTCTCATAATCAGTCCCTCTCCCTGACAGTAGCAGGAAAAGATTTTACCTTTGTAGGAAGGTCATCTAATGTAACATCTAGGCCCCTTCACCCCTGTGATTTTCTCCAAGTTATGATTTTAGGACATCAATTAGCCCTTTGTCTTCTAAATTTTCACAGGATCAAAAAAGTTTCTTATATTTTGGTATCCCATAAAATTAGACTGAATGAAGGTTAAGCATTAAAAAGCTAGAACAGAAGCTGAGAAGTATCATGACTGATGCTTAAGACATGTATACACAAGTAGACCAAAAGAGATAAATCCTTACCAGAGAAGACACTGGGTATCTTGGAAAGAAAGCTTTTGACGGTCCGAATAGGAATTCCATTTTTTTCATCTTGCATGCGTGCTATGACATCTTCCATCTAAAAACACACAAAAGAAGAATTTAGTCACCTTTAAACAGCAGAACCATGTCTTAGACAGAAAAATAACTCATATTTACATAACATTTTTAGATTCAATGTATATTCAATGTATATTGTTACATTTGACTCATAGCAACTCTGTAAAGTAGGTATCACAAGTATTAGCATGCTTATTTAATAGTTGAGGAAAGTAAGTAAAAAAAAAGTAAAAGATAAATTAGGGGGTGGAGCCAAAATGACAGAGTAAAAGCAGTGACTTGCTGGAGCTCTCCCCCAAATCCTTCCAAATACCTGTAAAAAATGGTTCTAAACAAATTCTAGAGCAGCAGAACCCCAAAAAGACAGAGTGAAACAAATTTCCAGCCCAAGACAACCTGGATGATTGATTGGAAAGATCTATTGTGACAGGCTAGAAGAGGAACGTAGTTCAGCATGGGCCAGCAGGAAAGACCAGACCTCAGCAAACCTAGAGCAGCCCTCAGGTGATTGAATCACAAGCAGCTGTGGCGGTTTCCAGACTTCTTGACTCACAGACACCAAAGACAACTTAGAAGGTCAATAGGGAAGGTCTATGACCTCAGTAAGAGAGGAGTTTGGTCTGGCTTCAGTGGGGGCAGCAGCTGCTTCTGAAGCCTTGGCCCACAGACTGAGGGGGAATCAAGCTGCTGATCAGAGTGGGATTGCAGGGATCTCTTTGCTGGTACAGGATTCTCCTGCTTTGCATGTGCTTGGATCTGGGTCACAGTTCTGGGTGGTGATCCTAGGGCAAGGAGGAGGGCTGGCATGGTGGAGCTTGTTGTGGTGCTGGAAAGTAAATCTTCCTCATTGTTCCAAGGCAGAAAGGAGTGCTTGTGGTCACTCATAGACCAGAGCACAGGCCAGAAAAGGAATAAACACCTTGCCCTTGATCATAGCACCTTGGAAGAATGGAAAATTTACAGGTCCCTAGAGGTATCTCTGAAAACAGCTACACAGGGCACAGGGTGAGTTGAAGATGAAGGGGTGATATCTAAGAAATAAAATTAATGGGTGAAAAAGGATTATACTGGGAGAAGGAGAAAGGGAGAAGTAGAATAGGGTAAATTATCTCACATAAAACAGACAAGAAAAGGCTTTTACAGTGGAGGGGAAGTGGCGGGGAGGTGAGAGGGAATGAGAGAATCTTATTGTCATTGGATTTGGCTTAAGGAGGGACTAACATACGCATTCAATTGGGTATGGAAATCTATCTTACCCTATAGGAAAATAGGGGGGAAGGGGATAAGAGGGAGGGGATGATAGAAGGGAGAGTAGATTTGAGGAGGGGGTAATCAGAAGTAAACATTTCTGAGGAGGGACAGGATCAAAAGAGAGAATAGAATAAATGGGGGGCAGGATAGGATGAAGGGAAATATAGTTTTTCACAACATGACTACTATGGAAGTGTTTTGCATGACTACACATGTATAACCTGTATCAAGTTGCTTGCCTTCTCAGTGAGGGTGGGTGGGGAGGAAGGAAGGGAGAAAATTTGGAACCCAAAGTTTTAAAAACAAATGTTAAAAATTGTTTTCACATGCAACTGGAAAATGAGATACACAGGCAATGGAATATAGAAATCTATCCTGCCGTACAGGAAAATAGAAGGGTAAGGGGAATAAGAGAAGTGGGGGCAGATAGAAGGGAGGGCAGATTAGGGGAAAGGGTATTCAGAATGCACACAGTCTTGCGGTGGGGAGGAATGAGATGGGAAGAAAATTTGGAACTCAAAATCTTGTGGAAGTGAATGTTGAAAACTAAAACTAAATAAATTAATAGAGAAAAAATTTAAATTAAAATTAAAAAAATAAAAACAAATAAATTAAATGTCTTGCACAAAGTTACGTAAAGTCACGTGGCTAACATAGGATTTGAACCTTAGCCTTATGAACTCCAAGTCTAGTGTATTAGTCACTAGCCCTTCTACCTCCCTCTTTCCTACAAAACAAACCAGACAAAAAACCCAATCAAATAAGAAACCAATGGCTTCATCAGCTTTTCCAGACTAAGAACTATTTCATGTCATCATTATTCTTGACTTTTTCATGCTAATGTTTTCAGTTTGATTAGGGAAAGACAGAGAAAGAAGTCAAAAAAAGCCCATTTTATGGCCCACTGTACTACTAATAAGAGCTTTGGATCTCACCTCCTTCTTTTGCTCTTTCTGGAGTTGTAACTGCTGAGATAAGTGAGTGTTTATTTTTGAAGCTGTCATGCACCATTGTTGAAGTGAAATTCACACTCCATTAAAGTTACCACTAGTGAGGCCAAAGCAAAAGAAAACAGAAGTTTAAAAGGCATCTGCTTGGATTTCCTTTTCCTACAGAGGGATTCCAAGATGATATTTGGAATGAAGTCTAATATCTAAGTTGCAAAAGCTTCCTGGGAACCCAGAACTGGACACCAACAACTTTGGTTCCTCTTGTCCAGCTCCACGATCAAATTGCTATATGTACATAGATTATATAACATTGTCGCACTTGAAGATGGACAAATTAAGACTATATAATATTTATAAACCCATGACAAGGCAAATGTGATTAAGACAAAGATGATCCTATGGCACTCCTTGAAACAATTCTTAACCAAGCATATACTGATGTTCCTATCAAATCTGTGAGTCATCATGCATGTATCATCTCAAACTTCAGGGCCAATGGTATCATCATCATTCCTGCAACCATGGCAAATTATCATGCATATAGAGGCTATTAAGCATAAGATGTGAGCAGGTAGATGGCTCAGTGCAACCTCATACCACTATTATTGTACATAATAAATTTGCTGTTTCATGTACAATCATCTTTTTTATTATACTATATTATGAAAATGCTTGTTTTATTTCATATTAAAAATAAAAAACAAATGTAAAAAAATAAGTTAAAGGACTTTCTCAAAAAGGATGGGTCAATGTCATCTTCATCTCTATAACAGAAAACATTTTCATTTCAGGAATATTGCAAATTGATAGAGTTTTTGCTAACTCTGGCACATTTTACTCTCACTGCTATAGGATAATAATACCACTTCAAGAGTGGGAATTACAATTTTTCTACTTGGCAGGGTATTCAGAGGATGCAACAATACTCTGTTTCTTAGCCACAGTAATTCCTGCTGACCTTCTAGTCAATCTTTGAAAGACAGCGATTTGCACAACCAGAGGGAATACAAACACTGCTGAAATCACAGATAATTAAAGTATCCAGGGTAGCCCCTTTCTGTCGTCCAGATATATGGAGAAAGTGCCTGAAAAGCTTCGAATACAGGGGTTATGTATTATCTTTGTTTCTAGTCCCCCTCAATGCGTAATACAGCACCTTATGTACAGTAAACACTCAATAAATGTTTGTTGAATTCAGTTGCCAACAGCTGAAGCAAAATAAATTGACTTGGCTTAAAGGATATTTCACTTGGGTTGTGGCCAAGCCTGAGAAAATCTTCCAGCTTCATCATACCTTTGTGGACAAATGAATTAGTATTATTTCATGCTCTCTTACCCCTTCACTTCTACTGCCTGATACAGTCTCTCTCCTCATTCATTTATCAGTAGGTAAACACTGAGAAATGCATTCTATCAATCAAATAAAGAATTAATTTATTATGAAATTACTGTGTGCCAAGAATTGAGCTAGGCATTGGGGATTCAGTGACAAAAGGGAAACAGTACTTGCCCTCAAGGTACTTATATTCTTACATGGAAGATAATGTGCATGTTTATAGGCATGAACAAAACATAAAGAGAAGATAAAAGGCAACCTTGAGGGGAAAGCACTAGAACCTCAAAAGCCCAGGAAAAGCTTCACGTAGAAGATGGTACTTGGGCTGAATCTTGAAGGAAAGCAGGGATTCGAAGATGTAGTGGTGATGAAAAATGCTTAATAGGCACGGGGAACAGCCAATATAAAGGTATGGAGCATCAGGTGCAAAGGATAACAAGAAGGCCAGGCTGTCTGGAATACAGAGTGTGTGGGAGTGATACATTGCAACAAAACCCTGAATGTCTCATGGGGATAGCTTGTGAAGAGCTTTAAATGTCATTTTTTTATTTGTATTTGATCCTAGAGTCGAGAGTCACTGAAGGGCAGCTAAATGGAGCGATGAATAGAGTACCGGGCCTAGAGTCAGGAAGGCTCAGCTCCATGAGTTCAAATCTGGCCTCAGACACTTACTAGTTGTGTGACCCTGGGCAAGTCACTTCACCTTGTTTGCCTCAGTTTCCTCATCTGTAAAATGAGCTGGAGAAGAAAATGGTAGACCACCCCAGTGTCTTTGACAAGAAAACCCCAAATTGGGACATGAAGAGTCAGATACGACTGAAACAACTGAACAAAAAACACTGAGGTTTACTGACTACAGGAGTGACATAGTCATACTTATACTTTAGGAGAAGCATTTTGGCAGTTGTGTAGAGGAATGATTAGAGTGAAGAGAGATCAGTTAGGGGTCTGTTTTGATAGAACAGGTAAGATACAATAAGGGCAGTAGGATGGTAGCAGTGTAGATAGAGAAAATGATGGATGCAAAAGATGTTGTAGACAGATCAACAATTAGGTCTGTCAAGTAATTAGATATGAGGCAGCTAGAGAGCACAGTGGATAGGCCTGGAGTCAGGAGGGCTAGAGTTCAAATCCTGCCTCAGATATCTATTAAATGTGTGACCTTAGCCTCTGTATATGTCAGTTTCCTAACTTGTAAATTGAGGATGACAATGGTGCTTGCCTTCCATGATTATTATGAGGATCAAATTAGATTATATTTGTAAAGTGCTCAGCAAAGTACCTGCCACATAGTAGGTACTTAAATGCTTTTATTTTGTGGGGTGAATTACAGTGATGAGTCAAGGATGACAGTAAAATGAGAAAAATGAGCAACTAGAGGAAGGTGCTACCTTCTATAAATAGTGAGGAGTGACAAATTCTGTTTTAGACACGTGGAGTTCAAGACATCTCTCAACCTCAAAATGTCTCATTGACAAATGT